TCAAGAATCCCCAAAGCATTAACAAACACCATTATTATAGCATTGTAAAAACGAATCCCTACCTAGCATATAACATATCAAACTTATCCTTTTAGATTATTTGACTCGAGTTGATAGTTTAACTATCCCATCCTAAATAGCATACCATATTGATGCATATCTAGGTCCAATAGATTAACTAGAAGTTTGTATTTCTACCCAATCTTATGACCATACTTTCACAAATCCTAGCGTACATAGTGCTATTACCCATGTCATCAAAATAATAGTTGGTTGATCACATACTTGTGTCCCCAACCAATCCATACTCCCAATCCGGACTAATTAACAAAAATGAAACATGTAATAACAAAATGAAACACTTAATAACAAAATGAAACACATAAATACACACATTATAATTCAAAATATAATTCTACTTAAGATATCCTCCATTTCAAAGAAGAAAACCTCATTTGAACTCAAGTTCACAAAAGTTCATTCCATAGTTTCGTTGGTAGTCGTCCAACCTTGAAACCTTTCCGCTAAACATAGCTTAACTGCACAATCGTTTGCTTAAGTGAATATCCAAAGGCTTAACCCTCATCCTCCTTATACGCGGAATACAAACCATCTAACGTGGCTTTACCAAGCAACTTAGAACGTTGCAACCCTATCCCCACATCCTCCGAAGCGTGACATAATAATCTTGTCTTAGTTCCGATAAGAACTCCATCAAATTCCGACCCTCCAAAAGAGTACTTCTCAAATAACTCCCAGAGACATTATGAAACTTTAACTATATGTAGATTGGTTCACCCTAACCCTACCCGTATCATTCACTATACCACTAGTGAACAAAATTACCCTCGTGCGATCCTTCATCTTCAGAATTTAGTATCCTCTTTCTTGGACACGCTGAAATCGCTTCCCTTCGGATCTTCTTCGGATTCCTATTCTTCGCTTGTCTCCTTTTCGAGAACAACTAAAGTTATGTTGGTCTCGATATGCGGTGACCCAACACCTACACCTTGATCCGTTCTTGGCGTATACTTTCTAAGTAATGCCAATCTTGGAACTAAACCTTCAATCCCAAGTTCTGCTTCTGGCAAAGAACTCGACAACCTACTCCGTTACTCCTTTGGGTCCGCAACACTTTCTCCTTGAACCCTATCCTCCTTTTAGTGTCAACCACTCTATATCTACAGAATATAATTGACATCAACTCCACCTAACGAACCGTAAATAGAGTACAACGAATCCTAATATGGCTCTAAGTTTTAAGAGACACAACGCGGAAGTTTTATAACGAAAACACTCCTAAGGACACTAGAACCTGGAGTGCTCTGATACCAACCGTGATGCCCCCAGATTTTCGGATGTGGGTTGGCCAGGCCCACGCTCGATTACCCGAGGATATTAAACCAATTAGCAATAAACAAATATAGAATATAATTAAGAAAACAGGAATAAATAAATTATTGAAAAAAAAACTAGAATAATAATCCAAATACCAAAACCTCAGAATAAAATTTTATTAATAAAGAATGATTCTGATACATCCAAATTCTCCATTTTTAATACAACTCAGGAATTCATCTGGTGGACCCCTAATAAACTCTAACACTGAAATCAATAACCGAAAAGAAGTCCAATGCTAAACCATAAAGAAACCTCCTATATCGTCGGTAGAATGAGTAGTCATCTCTGCTCAGCACAATTAAGCTCCAAGACCTGGAACCGTCCGATACCTGAAAAATAATAGTGGGTCAGGCCCACGAACAAGTTCTATCCTAACTACAATCCAAATAGAGACCCGATACGCAGATACATCCTAGATGTCTCAACCATATCTATATAGTCCGTAAAATATATATATCCACACTAAGGGACATTCACTGAGCTACAGTAGGGGTCTCAACCTGAATAGAAGGCAACATGTGAAAACGCACCCAAAGGTGGGCATGAGTACCTATACCTAACAGGGTACACCACAACCTACTATAGCCAGCTACGCATCCACTGCATATACGTACCCTAACCAACGATCCTGAGACTCAAGCTCATATCACTGTACCATAACTTATATATATAAATTCCCATCCAAACCAATGTAGTGCCGCTCAACTGTTCATTGTCATGACACGACATAAAATTAGGATTTAAATATTTTAATTAAATCCCTATCCTTCCTATTAACAGAAAATATAAACAACCACCCATTATGTCGTTCAACTATTTTAGTTGACAGGATATAAAACCATGTAGGATTTAACTATTTTAGTTAATCCATTCCGTATGTATGAATGGGTTGGAATTAGCGTTTTGATCTAATCCGTCCCTCCGTATACCACCGTCCCATACCGGTGTATACCATGCATATGATCCGTACATGATGCAACAACTCAATCAGTACATCACATAAATCGACATAATTCAAATAGTTAATAAAACAGAATTGAAACAGTACATCAACTATAATCCCAAAATACCATCCCTGTAATTGCTAAAATAGTTTAATAGTCCAGCAGTACATATCCAAATCCATAACCCAAGTAATTGCATAAACAATTTAATAATCCAGCAATTAAAATCCAAGCATTTAATCCAAGTAATTACATAAACAGTTTGATAGTCTAGCAATTAAAATCCAAATCCATAGTCCAAGTAATTGTAAAAAATGTTACATTATTCTAGCAATTGCAATCCAACCATAATCCAAGTAATTGCATAAAACATTACATTATTCTAGTAGTTGCAATCCAACCGTAATCCAAGTAATTGTAGAAAAGGTTTAATATTTTGACAATTAGCATTCCAAAGCATGTATAGATCAAAACAAATACATAGATGACCCTATCATGCATTTAAAATAAGTTTTATAAACCTCCTGAATCCCATTAAATTGCTAAAATTTAGTTAAGCAATTAATCCGTCTTTTATCCGTTAACAGTATAGAAAGTTTACTAATTTAATACTGTTTGTCCCACTGACTCAGAGGCCAAATTTGATCAATCTAAGGTCTTAATAACACCCAAAATAAACCATTCAATCCCTCTGTAAAGTCCCAAAAGTTTCATAACAGTTCCCATGCCCCAACAGTAACCACAACTCGTAAAAAAAATATCAGAGAGTTTACTATTGGAGAGCCTGCTCCAAGACTTTGGGAGCAGGCTCCAATCATCCTGGAGCCGGCTCCAAGGACATTGGAGCCAGCTTTACCGGCTCCCACTTCTATGGAGCCGGCTCTCACCTCATTTGAGAGCCGTCTTTAACCGCTGCAACTTTTGCGACCTTCTGCTTCGTCTCCGGTCGCTCCCAACCTGTCTATTTGGCTTTAAACTGTTCCTAAGGGTTCTAACTATGTCCAGTATAATTCTCATAATGTGTTTACAGCAGTTGAAATCAATTACAGTGATTAAAGTCGTTACCGATTTAACATGCTTTTAAGGTAGACTAGAACACAAAGATACAAGAACTATAACAAAACAATTCCATGCATACAGATATCTGATTTAGCATATAACAAGCATTTAAACTTTAATTAATGATCAATTAAAACCCTAGAGACAGTCTAAGGATGCACAGAACACAGGCAATGGAAGAGAGAAAGGAAAGAACTTGCCTCTATGGTTTTTGAATAAAAACCTTGTTGCCATCTTCCTAGATTTTTCAACGACGTCCAATTCACTATCAATCTCCTATTGCTCCACCTTCCCTTCTCCCAGGTCCATCCATTAATCCGCAGTCGAACCCTGATGGCAAATCCCTTTGTTTTCCTTACCATCTCTCTCTCTGTTTTCTCTCTATAACTCTCTGTTTGTAAACGAGTGTTTGTGAATGAAGTTTTATTGATTCCTAACCCTAAGCTGACGTCTAATGATATATAACCCTAAGCTGACGTCTAATGATATATTTATAGGTTTAGAAAACTAAAACCCTAATTCTAATTCTAATCCTAGAAAGAAAAGAACAACCACAAAAGTTACAATCCAAGTCGGCTAAATACTTGAGAATATACACGTAACCCTAAAATTATAACATATATTAAATTATGATAAACAATACCAGTTTAATTAGTAATAAATACCAATAATTAAAACTACCCTATATACATATATACCCATATATACATGTATATACTTCCATGGGTAAAAACTATACCCATTAACAATTTTTAAACAGTCCATTAATCCTATCCAAGCCCAACCTCATTTTAAAGATAAATAAATAAAATAACACATTTAATTACACATTCAAATGCCAACTAAGCATATAATTCAATTAAAACAAACAATTCAATTAACCAATTAAACATTTAGACAATCAAGCAAATAGTCAAAAATTATAATTTAAAAACCTTTAAACAATTAATTAAAAACACTTAAACACACACAAACAACTTAAATACAATAAAATAAAATAATTAATTGCCAATTATATCCTTTTGAAACTAGGGGTATTACACTATTTATAGCCAAAAATATACTTGGTGTCCATTGTCCAAGTATATTACAAAGCTTCCTTTGGAAGCCAAATAACACTTGTTGCCCAAGAATAATTCTTGCTGCCCAAGAATCTCAAGAAGTTTCACCATCACACTTCTTTAGCCAAAAGATTTTTGTCATGTCATAAATGAATTTTAGACAAATTTCTAACACCTTATATTGTACAAGCGATTAACTACAATGGTAAATGCCTTGTGATATGTATAACCAACGAAAGAAAAGGTATAAAAGGCACATTATTCAGTATTCAGCTAATATTTTGTATAAGTATTGTTTAAAAAATGGCAAATTGCAAAAAATCTCCCTTTACTCTTACTCAGTTGCGAAAAACTCCCCTTATGAATAATTTTGGCAAAAAATCCCCCTCAACCATTCCAAGGGGGTGTTTTTAACTAATGTCCATTTAAGTGACTGTCTGAAAGAATTTTTTAGATGAAATTACCCCTTAACAGATTATTCTTCAGACAATTTATTTATTTTTTCTCTTTTCTCTTCTGCGTCAAACAAGCCTTTTCATTCCTTCAAACACAAAGCTAAGGATGGCAATTTGCTCCGCTCTGCCCTGTTTATATAAACAAATTACTTAAGTACCCTTATTTCATTAGTATATATATTTCCTAGTATATATATTAAGTACCTTATAACAATATTAAAGTAACAAAAGAATTTGATTAGAAGGAAAGTTGTAATGGTGAAAAACTGAAGCTGAGGGAAAAAAAAAAAAAAAACAAAAAAAAAAAAAGAGCAAATCTATTTCAACAAGAAATAAATTATGGTCTTAAACGAGGCGAAGCGGATACCCGTAGAGTAAAAAGGTAAACGGTTATGGGCATGGGGTGGAAAGTCCCCCCATTTTTGCGGTTTTGGGCGGGGACAGAGGCGGGGTTTTTAAAGGGTTACGGGGGCGGGAGATGGTACACCCGCCCAAACCCGCTCCTGTTGCCATTCTTACACAAAGCTAACAGCAAATCGAGAAACACAATTGTGAAATCAAAACAATTTTCGAGTAGTAGGTGGTGGAATCAAAACAATATATGATGAGATGATAAATGCATTTCTCTCAAGCTAAATTACTTAAATATCCTTTATAATTAGATTCTTGTGAATTAAATAGAGGGCAACGATGTCCTTTCACATTAAAAAACTTTCATATTTTTAGGTCTTTAACTTGAGTTTATCAACTACAACAATTTTGTCTCAAATAGTTACTTTGGGGTATTTTGTGTTCTCAAAGTAAGTAAATTTAAAAAATAAATAAATAAATAAGATTTGAAAAAGAAATTATGTTACTTTTTAATTGCCAATTTCAGTCCAACTTACCTTCCAGTAGCATAATTCAATTAAGGAAAAGAAAGGAATTGAATTAAGGAAACATGGCAAATTATTAATTAAACTAAGGAAACACGACAAATTATTAATTATTTTCCTTAAAATAATTAACTGTTATAATGGCTACTAATTATCAAATGCACTGAAGGAGTTCTTGAGTTTCTTAATTTTTTCATCTTCTATTCCAACGCCATGGTGGATCTTCTCTCTCCTGTGCGGTTGTATTCAATTTTATTTTATTAATTATACATAGCTTAAATATGATTTTATTGGCTTTTCATTTTTTATTTTTTTTTTAGGAATTTTTCTTTGTTCACATACCTTGCTTGACGAAGAGAGAGAAAATAATAAATAAATTGTCTGAAGAATAATTTGTTAAGGGGTAATTTCGTCTTCAAAAAAATTCCTCAAACAATCACTTAAATGGACATTCGTTAAAAACACCCCCTTGGGATAGTTGAGGGGAGTTTTTGCCAAAAATATTAAAATTTTTTGCAACTGGCTAATAGTAAAGGGTGATTTTTTACAATTTGCCCTTTAAAAAAAAACAGTAAGAGAGAAACAGTTGTAGAAGTTTATCAATTTTTTATCCTCAGGTGAGCTTTTCATTCTACTTCTAATTTTTGTGGCTATATAGTTAGATTTGAAAGTGAACTCGTACCTTCGAGGTTGTTCCAACCAAAGATTCAACACCTTTAACATAGTCAGGTTGCCGATTTCTCTAGGTATGCTGCCAGTAAAGTTATTGTTGGGCATTGATAGATGTTGGAATTCCCTGCACTCGTATAAACCAGATGGAATTTGGCCATGCAGCTGATTAGAAGAAAGGTGGAGTCGCTGAAGCAAAGAAAGATGAGTGCACATGTCTATTGGGAGACTATCAGAAAGGCTATTTGATGTGAGATCAATTACTTGCAGTGAAGACATGTTAAAGATAGCAGATGGTATGGAGCCCGTAAGCTTGTTAAAACTCAAGTCTAACACTTTCAGGCTGGGCAGATTACTGGTCTCTTGTGAAATTTTACCATGAAGAGAATTGTAGCTTATGTTCAACGTCTCTAGCCTTGAAATGTTGAATATTGATGGTGGAATGGTACCTGTGAAACTGTTATTAGATAGAAGCAAGTGTTGAAGTTCTGATAAGATCCCAAACCATGATGGTACCTCTCCACTGAAGTTGTTGTATTGAAAATCAATCTCTAGTAATCGATCCAAACTAGCCAGCTCTTCGGGTATATGACCATTGAAACTATTGTAGCTGATGTCAAGAGATGTGAGAAATGAGAGGTTCCCAAGATGTGGAGCGATGGTGCCACTGAGACTCGTATCAGAAAGATTCAAGGCTGTGACCCTTTCGTTGCTGAGACCACAGGAGACACCAGTCCAGTTGCAAACTGAGGTAGTGGTGGACCAGTTTTTGGCCAATACATTTTCAGGGTCGGAAGTGAGATGGGCTTTGAAGGCAAGAAGTGCAGATTGATCTGTAGTCAAGTTGGTAGTTATGGTTGTAGCGAGGCAAACAATGAAACAGTTTAACAACACTGCAATGGAAAAAAAGAAGCAATTCTTTGCCATGAAGTTAAGTAGATTTAGCTTATGACTTCTAAATGAGGATTGATTGGTGAGGCATTATATAAGATAGTGAAATCATAATGCATTTGAAAGTGGATAAACCAAGCACATGGTCTCGAAAGCCAAGCACGTCCAAGGTATGGTCTTTTTTTCTTTACTACTTTTTAATTTTTTAACCTGGAAATCAGTAGGTGCATTGTTTTATGGAATTTGCAGCTACCAGTACTGTCAACTTGTTGAAATTCAGATTCGGCTGCCAAAGCATGGGCGCGTTCACACACTCACACACACACACACCCCCATGGGCACGTTCACACCATGGGCGCGTTCACACACACCTTTTAATAAATGAGCATATAGAAATTGACTTGGACGTTTGTGTTTTGGTGTACCTGTTAAAGTTGAGATTGGGGTTCCTGAGAAACTACCAACTTGTTTCGACCAATGTATATTTATATGTCAACTTGTGCTTTCATATGTTTTTTTAATATGTCTATTTGTTAAGATAGAGATTTGGGTGTCGATCTACATGGGATGTCCTTGAAGGCCAAGCACATGGCATATTTGATTTTTGTTTTCTTTTTCTTAGTTTATTTATTTACTTAATAGGATAAATGATAGCTGCATTATTTGAGTGACTGAGTTAGCCTCCACTTCATTTTTTTTTTTTTTTTTCAAAGTGATACTTTTGAACTTTAGGTGCAGAATTTAAAAAATATAGCGCTCATTTTGTACGTTAAACCTTTAAATAGTACAATATTTCATGTTAGATGTTACACATTGTGAAGAGAAATGTTCATCCTCTCCAGGTCAGTGACAATATATATTTAGTCGACACACTTTTTAAGTTCTCAACAATTGTACAGATTGTGCGGCAAATTATCATTTTTAGTGGTGAATTCTGTGCCAAGACAGTGAACAGGTAGTTTACTTTTGTTTAAGTCATATCTTATTCCCCCATTTATACATGAAAACTGATTAAAACTTTTACAATGGAAGATAAATAGAAGACTGATTTTGGCTGTTTTCTCAAAGTTTAGTCTGATATGTAGACTCTTCTTCTAAAATTTATTAATTTATTTCAGTAATTAGCATATAATATCAGATTAAACAATCATTATGATGATATCATTTACTACAAGGTTGAGTGATTTGGAAGTAGAGTCCCAAACGATCATCCAGAACAAAAAATTGTTGAGAAAAATTTGCATATTTTTTACTTGATCTTCAACATGAATGGAAATACAATGAATACGAAACTGGTGGTTTGAATGAGATGCTTAATTTTTTTTATTATTATTTTTTTACTCTTTATTTTAAAAGTGATTTGAATGTGATGCTTTGGTAGTTGCAAATTCTATTGCAGGGTTTGGTTTCTCACTTGCTCATGAAGTTGCTAAATTTTCTAAAGGCCTTTCTTGAAAATATTGCAGCTACAGATTGTTATCGTTTGGCCTTTGTAATTTTTTTTCCTCGCCACTTTTATATTTTTTTTAAATAAACACAGAACTATTGGATTGGAATTTTAGAACGACCCTTTATAATAATAATAATTATTTTCGTGGATAAGTTTATTTACACACATGTTCCTTTTGGGTAGAACCCACGACTTCCCTTTTTAAAGGTTAAGGACATAACATTAAGGTTAAGACTTTAGTGGTATGATCGATCTGTTTTATGTAGGTTTCATATGTGATAATTTTTCATTTTTTTAGCCAGTTTTTTTTTTTCAGAAACATTTTCTTTCATGTAGTTGGATTGATTAAATTTTCATGGTTGTTTTTCTATCAACCATGTAACTCCTTCACCACTCCCATGTTTAATCAATCACTTTTGGTCATGATTAATTTTATAAATTTGTAAAAAATTAGGAAAAATAGGCGGCTAGAGAGCCTTAATTCAATAATCATTTCTGTAGTGGTTAAAAGAAGTATGAAACTAAGATATTGACTTCTTTTTTATTTATTTATTTTTTTTAATTGATAAGAAATTCTTTTGCCTCTTAAAGACTTCAACCCTCACTGTCCATCCCAGAAGATAAAAGAGACATAATTTGAGTTCAGGCTGACTTGCAAAAACCCGTCCTTGACTTATAATACCCTAAACTAATAGGAGTGGTGAGAGACTATTTTTTGAGACAAAAATGCCCCTTTCATGTTTTTGCACTATGTATAGGGATGTCAATTTTTACTGTCCCGTTAGGATTCCGCCCGGTTAATAACGGATATGGGAACATTTTTTATACTGTTGGGGCGGGCATAGATACAAATTTTGTACCCGTCGCGGGTCACGGGGCGGGTAAAGGTTCAGTATACATATCCTAGGGGCCTCGTCCTGTCCCGTCCCGCCCCGCCCAGCCCCGCCCCGCTAAGTATATAACTATATTTAATATATATATATATATATATATATATATATATATATATTATTAATAACTTATTTTACCGGCTTACTCAATTACTCATCTCTTACAATCCTAATTTGGGATATAAACTTGGTATTAAATTTGCTTTTGTTTTGGTTATGGTGAAAGTTAGAACTTAGAACTTCTTGTGATTTGGTTGTATTAAACTTTTATTTTTATTTATTATGTTCACTGAATTATGATATGTGCATGTTATTTTTTTATTTTTGTTGGGATACATAATTTCATTTATGTTGTGCCATTCCCAGGCTTTCCACATTTAAATAGCAGGAGCTTAAGTTCCAAAAAGTGGGAGAAAAAAATTTGTTAGCGAGGCGGGCACGGGGGCACAGTATTTCCCAACGAGGCGGGGCTAGATATGAAAATCCAACACGTCACAGGTCTCAGGGCGGACATGGACTTGACAAAAATTAAAAGGGGCGGGACGGGATTTAGGGAAACCCGCTCCAAAACCGCCCCGTTGCCATCCTTAACTATGTATGATATACTCAAATTATCCATTTCACTGGGGATGGTGAAAGTGCAAAGAATTTTCTCCAATTGTAGAGAGAGAAACTTTACACTCCCAATAATCTTTCAACCTCTTTTCTCTCTCAATTCCCTATATTTATAGATGGTTACAACCACTTGGACGGTTATAACCACTCCTGGGCTGGACCTAACTTTTTCTCTTTTGTTTAGGCTCAACTTCTTTCATCATAACATGGGCTTCTGTAATGACCTCTTGGATCTGGGCCATTCAGCGCGGACTTGCTCCATCCTAGCTATCCATACCCGACCCGTTCTTAGCAATACGAATCATACCAAGGCTGGATCATTTTTGGTGCCTTCATCTGCCCCCAATAATTTCTCCCTTCATTAATTAGGGTGAGATTATTGAAAAGACACAATCTTGGTCTGACGGCTCGGAGCGATGACACGAGGAATAGAACAACTGGCATAAAGACCTAGACTTCGAGATCTGCTGCGCCACTTTTGCCTTGACCTTTTGAATTCTGTGTCGCCTCTATTTCTTCTCTTTAAAAACCCTGATCCTCTCAACCTTTATCTTCCTTTAACATATCCTACTTTTATTCTTCGTTGTCGTCTTCCTGAGTTTCGTCTATCACCTTCCTGCACTTTCCGGCGATCTTTCTTTAGTTTCTCCAGCGAGTTTTTCCTTCGCGATTTTGGCTACTATGTTGTTGCTGGGTACTTCACAAACTCTCATGGTCAGGTTTTTTTTTACTACCCTTTTTGAGAAGAGAAACCTTCACTATCATAGATTCCTCCCCTTCTCCATGGCTCCCTCAAATCTGAACACCATTCATTTCAAGAATAACATTCCCAATGATGTCTCTCTCAGGATCTACCCTACAGACTTAGATGGGAGCTCTGGTAAGGGTCTCCTTCCTGGGGAGGTTTTATTCTCTGCCTTCCATTTAAACGTCATTAGGTTCCCCTTACACCCATTCTTTTGCTATGTTTTCAGCAAATTGGGGATCTGCCCTCTGCAGGTTAACCCTAACTTCCTTAGGGTAATTTCAGTCCTTCTGCTCTTGAACCGTGACAGGGGTCTCAACCTTAATATCATCGACCTTCTCCTCTGCTACCGAATTAACAAAATCAAACAAAGTGATCTGTACAATCACTTCTTTCCTATTGACAAACGGTCGATCTGCACGGATAAGAACTTGTTTGAAAAAGATTGGACATAAAACTTGATTGGGGTTAGTGGGAATTGGCGGACTCCGTTCGGCCAACTTTCTCTATCCCTTCCTCCTTTGGAGTATGCTCTGTCTCTGGTTACAAAAAACTGAAAACACATCCCACTGAATGCCATTGTGAAAGTTACCTTCCCTATTTTTGTACTTTTCTTTATAGATGCCTTCAAATTCCTCATGATGAACTAGTTTATAGCGTTTGCAGGGCCAAGCAAGACATCTTACAAGAGAGTGTGCTGAACAACGTCCTTTCAGCTACAGACTTGCTTACTCCTGACAATCTCTCTGACATCTCTCTCCTAGGGTCTACAATGGAGAGCATTCAGATTCCATCTTTCAGCAGGAGGGGGCGTTCTGCTCCCATCCCTTCTGCTGCTCCTGTTACCATATCTTCCTCTACGCCTGCTATAATACCCCTATTTTCCAAAAGGATAAAATTGAAATTTAAAGTTTGTTTACTTTGGTGCATTTTTTTTAATTGATTTTGTGTCTATTTGCTTAATTGATTTTGTGTTTAATTGTTTTATTTCTATTTTTTTTAATTGTTAATTTTGTATTTGCATTTGCCTTATTTGATTAATTATTCTATTTAATTGAAATTTATTATTTATTTGCATTATTTGCTTTATTTGTATTACTGGATTTAATTAAACTATCTGAATTGTTGTTATTATTTATGTGTTCATAATTTGTTAATATAAAGGTTTAATTATTTAATTACGTTAAATGAGTATGTAAATTACGTTAATAAAGTCTTTAGGGATTTTATAACTGAAACTGTTAGAAGTTCTGTAGGTGGAAGCAGACAAAGTTTCTAACGAGGGTTTTATCCTATGGGCCGACTAAGGTTAATTTAGATTAGGGTTTCTATCTCG